ATTTTTCTTTGGTTTTGCCAAAAATAAAAATAATAAAGCAAGTGGCCAAGGATGACACTATTCCTGCTGCCCAAGGCCCCATGCATGAAAGGTACATCTGTCTTCAAAGAGGAGTTGACATCAGAGGCTCAGCCATGGCCTCAGCCTGAGTGACCATCAGATTTTTCTGGTCCCATTGCCTTGTGATGGGGGCACCAATGCTGACCGCCATATCCATGCCCTTTAGCTGTCTTAGGTTTCTAGGGCCCCCTTGCATAGACTATTGGGGGTGGGCAGCCCATGAGAGGCTCAGTGACCCTCCAAGCCCTATGCATGACAGCTGGCTGTGGTGTTCTCGTCAAAGACGTTCACCTCCTCTCGCTTCTCAAGGTTGCCGCGGACCTATTTATAGCACTGGCCAAGAGGATCTACTGTTGCCAGCGATGGAGAATACAAATGATACTCGATGCATTGTTTTTCATTCTGGCCCCTACTTTCCTTTTAATCCCTTGGACAGTTCCTTTCTGTGACACAGTTTTCCTTCTCCATGGAGACACAGCTGGGAGGGCCCTGCCGTTTGGTGAGCCCCTACTGTGTGCAGGGGCCCTTGGATTTCATCAAACTCCTCGCTGAATCCATGCTGTGCAGAGAGGGGCTGTTGTCCTCCCCGTTTCTCACCTGCTAGCCCTGTTTGGCTCCGTTTTTAAGCCAGGGACTCTAAGCTAATGAGAGGGGAAGGTGCAGCCTGAAATGCCATTGTGCGTGTGCCCTTCTCTGGCATTCTTTTGCATTCGACTCTAGCCAGTTTTGCAGATCAGTAGTGGCTGCATCGTGGTGCTTGGAGAGGTCATGCTGTCTCTGGGGATGGTATTCATTTTCCTATCCAATCAAGCCAGTCTTTTCTTAAGACCTATTTTGTGCCAAACAATGCCTCATTTCTCATGAAACACACATGTCGGAAGGACCTACTGTGCGCTCTGGACAGTTCCTTGTTTGTCACCAGACACAAGCATCACAAGGAGTCACAGGACCTACTGTGCACCTGGAGATGCCACGTGTCCCCCTCTGGGCTGCAAGTGACTGGAAACATACCTGTTGTGTTCCCTTTAGGCCTGGGACATAGCAGATCCGTGAGCACTTGTTGGATGCTTATTCTCACAGTATGTCTAGGAGGGAACAGAGAAAGAGGCAGAGCAACTGGGACAGCAAAGAGACGTAGCGAGCTGTGCCCTGAAGAAGGAGGAAGTGGTTGACAGGAGGAGGGTCAGGAAGACATGAGGGGCATAAGGGGACATGGTGGCCTAGGGCAACACAATGGGCTAGCGGGGACATGGTGGCCTAGGCTTCTGCTGACACCACCTGCGTCCTGGGTCCCGCTTTCCACTTTTGGCTAATCCTGGATTTGCAGTTTCCCAGAGATTGAGTTTTCCTGACTATCCTGGCAGGGGTGCCCTGGGGATGGTAAAAGAGCACTGTCAATCTCTTGCTGCTCATCATCTCAGAACTCTGCAGCAGGCGGTTTGGAAGAGCTGCCATCCTCCAGTGAGCCCTCCTCCAGGGGCTGCCGTTTTGCTGCAAGGGGAGACGACGAGGGCTCTAGCGTTGTCTTCCTTAGGGAGAAGCTCATAGCCCAGAGCATCCCCTCCCCTGCATCTCTGCCTAGGCAGGGCTCGCACTACCTCTGCAGGCCTGGCCATGGGCATCCTCTGCCAGAGTGCAGGGTGCGAGCAGAGCTGGAGCTCCGCAGGCTGGGGCAACCCAGGAACCACTGAGGTGCGAGTCCTTCACACCCTTCTTCTTCTTTTAATATTTGTTGTATATTTGAAAGTCATACAGAAAGAGAAAGAGATTGATCTTCATCTGCTGGCTCATTCCTCTATATGGATATAATGGTCAGGCTGAAGCCAGGAACCAGAAGCTTCATTGGAGTCTCTCACATGGGTGTAAGAGCCCAAGGACTTGGGCATTTTCTGCTGCGCTCCCAGGCACATTAGTAGGAAGCTGGATGGGAAGTAAAGCAGCTGGAACTCAAAAAAGCAGCCATGTGAATTGTTGGTATCACAGGCAGTGGCTTAATGTACTATGCCACAACGCTGGTCCCACCTCTTCCATCTTACCGGTTCTTCTTTTTTTTCTCTGATGTTAAAAGCAGCGTACTCTCAATGTAGAGCACTTAGAAAGTACTGAGAGACAAACAGAGCAAAATACCATCACTCTGCCACTCAGCAATTGTGCTAGCACCCTAGCATGGTGTCTCTCTGTTCTATTCTCTTCCCTCCTGCGTGATTTGTCTCTTCACATCGTTGAGATTACATAGTAAGACCCGGTTTGGCAGCAGCCTTTTAGCCTGACCAAGCATCAAAATGTACTGCATTTCCACAGTGTTGCAAATGCATGACAAATAGAAGCTTAATGGCAGCATTAAAAATCACAGTACACGTGTATGCCATTCCTTGGACACACAACCCCGCCGTAGGTCACCTGGGGCTGCTGCTATTGCCAAATGCTATAGACAGGGGACTGAAACACAGAAATGCGTCTCTTGATGCTTCTGAGGATCAGCTACCTGAGAGCAGAGTGCCAGCCTGTGGGGCTATAGTCAAAGGCAGATGGGGGTCACTTTCTTCCTGTGTCCCCCTCACATGGAGGGCCAAGAGCAGGCTTTGATTTCTCTTCTCCCCAAGCTGCAGATCACACCATGACAGACCCATCCTCACAGCACCCTCCAATGGCCTCTCTAAGAATTTTTAGTTCACTACCACGTTGTGGGCAGCACTTTAACATACGCACAGCAGGACCTAGGGTGCTGAGTGACCGGCTGCCTCTCAGCCACAGGTGCATGGCAGCATGGCGCATCTCAGCTTCCACCTGAGGCAAGGGAATCTGGAATTCTCTAAGTGTGCACTTACTCCATCCTGGTACAGGTGCTGTCTGTACACAAAACCAGTGGCCATGGGAGAAAGCCCATAACAGCTGTGCGGGCGGGTGATTTCCCTCCGTAACTTCATCTGAGTGGTGGAACTCCCATGCCCCAGGGTTGGATCCTGCATTAATTCCGTGAAATAAGGGTGGGTGCAGAGCTGAGTACCTGGCCCACAAGGCCTGAGGCAGATGGCAGACTACCCATGCCCTCTTGACCCTCTTGTCTGATGACTGCAGCCCCTAAGACCACTCCCAGGTACCGTGGTCTACTACGAAAGCTTATGGGACTTGGCAGTCATCCCTAGGTGTCCTGGGAGACTGGTTCCGGGATGTGCCATGGATAATAAACTCCTGGGATGCTCAAGTTCCTTCCATAAAATAGTATGTGTACATAACCTACACACAAAAGGGATCATGACAAGAAAAATGCCTGTATGTGATTGGTACAGATGCGATTTTGGTTTTAGATTATTTTTCTTTTATTCAAAAGGCAAAAAGAGACAGAGAACTTGCACCTGCTGATTTGCTCCCCACCTGCGAGAGCTGGAACTCAACTGGGTCTCCCATGTGGGTGGCAGGGACCTGAGTGCTTAAGCCATCCCCTGCTGCCTTGCAGAGTTCACATTAGCAGGAAGCAGCTTCGGAAGCGCACCCAGGACTCTGATGTGAGATGTAGATATCTCAAATAGAAGCGTAATGTCTGTGCCAGATGCCTACCCCAGACACAATTTTTTAAAAGATAGTTTTGGGGCCCAGTGTGGTAGCCTAGTGTCTAAAGTCCTCGCCTTGCTCGCTCTGGGATCCCATATGGGTGCTGGTTCAAATCCTAGAAGCTCTGCTTCCCATCCAGCTCCCTGCTTGTGCCTAGGAAAGCAGACAGGCATGGCCCAAAGCCTTGGGACCATGTACCAGCATGGAAGACCTGGAAGAGGTTCCTGGCTCCTGGCTTTGGGTCGGCACAGCTCTGGCTGTTGTAGCCACTTGGGGAGTAAATCAACGGACAGAAAATCATCCTCTCTGTATATCTGACTTTCCAATAAAAATAGAATAAATCTTTAAAAATAAATAAATACTTCTATATATTTATTCGGTGCCCTGTTGGTTGAATATATAAATCCAGAACCCATAGCTACAGAGAACCAATTATATTTGCATTATTGGCTAATAATGTTTTATCCCATTGAAAGGGTTCAAAGTGGGGTGTGGCACAACTGGATAAGCTGCCATTTGCATGTCTGATGCTATATTGGAGTGCCAGTACAAGGCCTGGCTGCTCCACTTTGGATCCAGCCACCTATTAATGTGCCTGGGAAGACAGTGGAAGATGACTGAAGTGCTTGGACCCCTGCCACCCATGTGGGAAACCCAGATGAAATTTCTGGCTCATGGCTTCAGCTTGACTTAATCCTGACCATCATGACCATTTGGGGAGTGGGCCATCTGGGTCTGCCACTTGAGTTCAAGGGCCCAGGCTCTTGGGCCATCCTCCACTGCTTCCCCAGGCTCATTAGCAGGGAGCTGGATTGTAAATGGAGCAGCATCTGTATAGAATGCTGGTGTTGCAGGCAGAACCGTTGCACCATTGTGCCAGCCCCAGAGATGCAATTCTTGGGCCATTAAAGCACAAGAGTGGACAGGTGTCTTGTTTCCATAGAATAGAAGGAAGGGCTAAGAGGAGCCAGCAGCTATATCCAGGTCTCTCACGTGAGTGGCAGGAGTTTAGGCACTTGAGCCATCTTCCGCTGCCTTCCTAGGCCATGACTGAGAGTAACTCAAAAGTGGAGCAGCCAGGAATACCTGCAAGTATATAGGATGCCAGCTCTTCAGGTCATCCATTACAGCATGTCAGCTCCCAAAGCCCTCAAGAATCGTTTGTTTGTTTAAACTGAGTCATGCAATTGGTCCATGTTTATGCGATGCCATGTGATGTGTACAGTGTGTATTATTTAGTTACGACAGACATAACTGTGTCCTCCAAACCAGGGCTAGCCTCCTCCTCCATGGGCAGGGTAGGAGAGAAAAATGGAGTCAGATGGTGGGGGTGAGGGTCCCTCACGTCACATGACTCGCTTCTAACCTGTGTGTCCCTGTCTCTCTAGGCTCTGAAGGGCTCCAAGAAGCTAGTGTTGTCAGTGTACTCAGCGGGCCGCATCCCGGGCGGCTATGTCACCAACCACATCTACACCTGGGTGGACCCTCAGGGCCGCAGCACCTCCCCACCTGCCGGCCTGCCCCAGCCCCATGGCAGTGCCCTGAACCAGCCTGATGGGGACCGCAGGAGCACCCTGCACCTGCTACAGGGTGGGGATGAGAAAAAGGTAAGTTACCACCCCTGAGGCCTCACAGACTTGAGGCTGAAGGCTTGGAGTGGTAGGTAGAGTTGGGAGACAGGGAGGGAGGCTGGCTGCTGAGATGGCAGCTTCTCGTGCTCCAAGGACGCAGATGTTGCTGAGAGCCTGGAAGTGGACTTGGCTCCGACTGGGTTCTGTCCTGCTCCTCACATTCCTTCTGAATAGGTTTGTCATCTTCTCTTGGCATTTTTTAAAAATGATTTATTGTTTTAGTTGAAAGTCAGAGTGCCATCTTCCATCTGCCCATATGACCACAACTGCCAGGTCTGAGCCAGGCAGAAGCCAGAGGCCAGGAGCTCTGGGTCTCCCATATGGGTGGGTCACGGGGTCCAAGCACTTGCCCCCATCTTCTGCTGCTTCTCCATGCCAGTAGCAGTGAGGTGGATGGGAAGTAGAGCATCCAGGTCACAAGCTGATGCCCACATGGGATGGCAGTGCTGTAGGCGCAGCTTTATCTGCTGCTCCACAATACTGACTCCTGTGGTGCTATTTGACCTGTGCAATGTGCATTGTGAGCAGCCAAGCTGATGCCAGGGAAGAGCCACAATGGGAGTTTCCTTGAGTGGTGTTTGTGCTGCGCATAGCAGAGGTACAGAGAGCTCCCAGTCTGCTCCAGACTCACTCTGGCATCCAGGTCCCCCCCTCTACCCTCTGCCAGGAGGCCGCTGCCTTCTCATGGTTTGGCCTTACCAGGTGCCTAGTGGAGCACACAGGAAAGGAGAAGAGAGAAATCCCAGGGCATCCATTCCAGCTACAGGTGCTTGAATTCCCTCTGGCCTGGACCTGGACATGGAGCAACAGAGAATTGCTATGTCCCCTGACTTCACAGAACACCCTTGTCAGTGTGTGCTTGGGTTGTCAGTGACAGAAACCCAGCCTGGCCATCTTCCGCAAAGTAAGACTGTGCCCTCAGGATACGAGCATCCCTGGAGGGAATCTGGGGAACTCAGGGTGCAGATGGGAGGCTGGGTCATGCCCCACAGTGTTCTCCTTGTGTACTGCCCTCCAGAGCCCGCCTCCCGAGAGGGCTCATGGGATTGGCTGGCACGTACATGGACAGATGCATCCAGACTGTATTGTCTGTATTGACATGGAGTGTCCCCACCTGAAGAAGACCAGGCCTGGGTGTGTTTTCTTTCTGTCCTTTTAAAAAAGTTGTATTTTATTTATTTGAAAGGCAGAGTTAGAGAGACAAGAGACAAAGACAGAGATCTTTCATCACTGGTTCACTCCCTAGAGTGAACACAATAATTGGGATGAGGTCATGCCAAAGCCAGAAGCCTGGAACATCCTCAGGGTCTCCAACACGGGGACAAGGACCCAAGCACTTGCTCCATCCTCCACTGCTTTCCCAAATGCATCATTAGCAGGGAGCTGCAGTGGAAGTGGAGCCGTCGAGGCATGAACTAGCACCTGTGCATGCTGGCCTCACATACAGCAGCTTTACCCACATGCCACAACACCGATCTCTGCTTTGTATATTCAAAAAGAAGACTGAAATGCTCTCCTGTTGTCTCTGGGTGCCTCCACCTTCTCTCTGGGTGCCGCTTGTGCTGTGTCTCATGGGTGTCCCTGGAACCAGGGGCCTAACTCCCACCGGCAGCTCTCTGATGTCACAGGACATTAATGATGACAGGCAAGAGGCTGCATGGTAGGGCTCTAGGCCAGGTGCCCTCTCTTGGCAAACTCTCTCTCAGCTCTCCTTTCCCCTTGTTCCAGATGAGAAAATGGAGGCATAGAGAGGCTGATTGAATGGTTCCCAGGCCACACAGCTAGTGAGTGGTCGGGACAGGACATGCTCCTGCTCTTGGGCTCATCCCTGGCTGGGCAGTGGCACACTGGCAGCTCTCTCCTGCAGTGCCTGACTGGTCTGTGCACTAACCATCATGGTCAGCATCCAGAATCTGCTCAGAGGAATGATGGTGCCAGGAACAGCCAGGGCTCAGCCTGCCCCTGCAGCCTCTGCCTGCTCATGTGTCCGAGAGCCCCCTGGGTGGCTTCCCCCTGGGTGGCATTTCCCTGGGCCCCCCATCCTGCAGCACCTAGAACTCCTCTAGGCTCAGCTGCCTGCAGCAGCTACAGAAACAAAATGGACCCTGCCCCTTCTGCTCAGCCTGGCGGCGGGCAGGCTGCTCCGGGCTCAGTGGCGCTGAGGTGGAAGGCTATTTTTGTAACTTTCTGACTCTGCGACCTTGTGTAAATTACTTAACCTTGGATGAATCACTTAAGTGTCCCTGACTGTGATTTGGGGATCATTATTCCAGCTGTAGGGGGCTGATTCAAGGATTAGTAATCGCATACAGAGCACAGTGCTTGGAATGTAGTGGCCAGTAGTGGCCATCAGTTCTCCAATGTTGATAAGGTACTAGGTGCTTTTTGGACCTTCCTTCCCCCCCACCCCCACCAAAATATTTATTGAGCTCCTTGAATGAGCCTAGAGCTGCTCTGTGTCCCAGGAACTGCAGTAAATGGCTGAAGATAGAGACTTTCAGTAGCTTCATTCTAACATGTGCTAGGGCGTTAGAATAAGAGAGAGGTCAAGGGTTGGACCACGGCATCTAGGCTAAGCCTCTACCTGTGATGCTGGCATCCCATACAGGCACCGGTCCGAGTTCCAGTTGCTCCACTTCTGATGTAGCTCCATACTGATGTGTGTAGGTAGGCAGTAACTGCTGGCCCTAGTCCTTGGGCCCCTGTACCCATGTGTGAGACCCAGGAGAAGTTGCTGGCTTTGGACTGGCCCAGTTCTGGCCATTACAGCCATTTGGGAAGTGAACAATGGATGGAAGATTGCTCTATCTTTCCTTCTCTCTGTAAATATGCCTTTCAAATTATATATGTGTGTGTATATATATAGAATATATATGTATACATGTATACACTCTGCAGCACATATATACATATATATGTATTGCACAATGGAGGGAGAAGAGCATGATAAGGGTATGGGGCAGGTCCATGTGTGAACGAGTGGGGTGGCTGAGGGTGACAGAGAAGGCCTCCCTGACAAACTGGCACAGTGAGTCAGAGACCGATGAAGGAGTACCATGTGTGCCCATCCTGTCGATATAGAACATGCCTGGTTGGGGAGGCCTCGAGGGCCACAGCAGAGCCCTTCTGAGGAAGAACAGAGCAAGGTGGCAGGCAGTGGCTTCAGCTTGCATCTGGGGATTGTGCCCTGGCAAAGCTTAGAGCAGCGGGCAAAGGTGGGCTAAAGCAGGTAGAATTCCTGTAGGACCATGCAGGCTGCAGGTAGAGCAGGGGTGATGTGAGGAGTCCAGCTGTCCTAATTGCCACAACGTGGCAGAAACACCAGCAGCTAGGGTTGTATCTGGCTGCAGGTAGCACAGTGTGTGTATCCCAAGGTGCTTCTATGAGAGCTCTTCATGAAGTTCATGGCCAATGCCTGTTAGTTTCATCCTGCTTGCCCCTGAGCTTTCTGAAGTCTCTTCACACCATAAAGGGGGTGGTGTGGCCTCAGGTTTGTTGTTGCTTCATGGCTACGGGATGGCAACCTGTGCTGCTGCCATCACAGCCTCTCCCAGCCTGGTCCAAAGCAGAGTGGATGGAGGGAGAAGACTACTCTTTTCTGGGTGGAGGATGTTTCCCCTAGATACCTGCTCCCTCCCTTGTCTTGGCCAAGAAGCACCTATGTGTTCATCCCGGTCTCTGGCAGTGTGAAGCAAGGTGGCCCAGACCAGCGCCATCTTTTGGGGCTGCTGCTGTTGCTGCTTGGGCAAAGTCGGGGTTCCATGGCAGGACAGGAGACAGCCTGTGGCAGTGCCAATTCCGGCCAAGTGGTGCAGTTCTCATTTTGTCAGTGGGCCAACTATAAATTACAGAAGCCATGGATGGCTCCAGGGCAGAGGCAGGATCTGAATCCAAGCCCTGTGGGTGGAGAGTGGGCCAGGCTGCCTGCTGTGTGAATCTTGACCTCAGTCTTGCATCCCTCAGTTTTCCCACCTGGAGAATGGGGCACTCCCAGAGCACCCAGAGGAGAGATGCAGATGCACCAAGGAGACATGTGCAGGGGCTGAGTAAGGCACCTGCTCAGCTGGATCCTCCCTAAGTCGCTGAGGCTGGAGTCTCTGCTGTCTCAGAAAGTGGGGGAGCTAAGTGAAAGAGTCTACGGCCCAGTCCTGTCTCTGGGACTTGTGTGGAAGAACTTAGGCCAAAATGGCTTTTCAGGAGCAGAGACCTGGCTGGCTTCCCTTGGGGCTGAAAGTTCCTGCTTGTCCCTGGAGCAGTCACACTGTGCTCCATCTGGGTCGCATGCCTGAATGAGAGCTGGGGCCAGTTCTGTCTCTGGCTAGGGTTCTCCGGAGACATTCACACTTTGCTTCACCCATCCTCCTCTGGTCCCCATGCACAGTGCCTGGAGGTGTCTGTGTGGGTGAGGCTCGCCAGCCTCTCCCGCGTGTCACCATTTAGGCCCCAGCACTCCACAGGCCTGAGTAGTGGCAGTGCTGTCCCTTGTCCCTGGAGCACTCCTCTCCATCCTCTACTCCACCCAGCCTGTCCGATCCCCACTCATCGTGGGTGCCGTCAGTCAAGTGGGATATTGTCTCAGGTCATCTCCTTCAGAGTTTTTTTTCCTAAGATTTATTTTATTTTTATTGGAAAGGCAGATATACAGAGAGGAGAGACAGAGAGGAAGATCTTCCGTCCGATGATTCACTCCCCAAGTGAGCACAACGGCCGATACTATGCCAGTCCAAAGCCAGGAGCCTCTTCCGGGTCTCCCATGCGGGTGCAGCGTCCCAAAGCTTTAGGCCGTCCTGGACTGCTTTCCCGGGCCACGAGCAGGGAGCTGGATGGGAAGGGGGGCCGCCGGGATTCGAACCGGCGCCCATATGGGATCCCGGGCGTGCAAGGCGAGGACCTTAACCACTGCACCGCCGCGCCGGGTCCCCTTCAGAGCTTTTACCTGCAGCTGTGCTCAGAGAGGGCAAGGGGCTTGCCCAAGGTCACCCAGCCTGCCAGAGGCAGAGCTGGGGCAGAACCTGGAATGTCTCAGGGTTCTTGGAGGTCTTGGCCTTGGGCCTCCTGCAGGCTGGAATCAGTATGGGATTATTCTGCAACGACTGTGCCCCCATTCCCACGCAACACACACACACACACACACACACACACACACACACACACACACACACACACACACACACACACACACACACGGCTAACAGTGTCTCTCCCTGTCACAGGTGAACTTGCTGCTGGGTGATGGCCGCTCCCTGGGCCTCACCATCCGAGGGGGCGCTGAGTACGGCCTGGGCATCTACATCACCGGAGTGGACCCAGGTTCGGAGGCAGAAGGCAGTGGGCTAAAGGTGAGGGGGACCTGGGCACAGAGCTCTTGGCAGCTTCAGCAGAACCCTTGGCACCCCACCATGAGCACTGCTCTGGGCCTGGGGAGTCCTCTCTTGGCTTGCAGCAGCAGCAGGGCGCCTCCCACATGGGCCTGGGCAATGGGCCAACCCGAGTTACTCCTGGCTGCTATTCTGCAAACAGTGCTGATGTCAGCAATCGCCCTGACCTGTGTGTTTATTGTGATGCCTGGAGACAGAAGGGGAGAGAAAGCCATGGCTGGTGTGGGGCTTGCATGGGGCAGCTTCCGGGCTGGCATTCAGTCTGGGGAACATGCAGTGATCAGATGTGATCAGCAAGTGTTTTAAGGAAGGGCATCTGGTGCCCAGCATTTGTGATTCGCTGCCCATGTCACCCCCCTGAACTTACAGATTGCCCTGTGGAGCGGATTGTTTCTTGCATGTTTCCCAACTGGGGACTCTGGGACCCAGAATAGTGAAACCAGTCTATCCAAGGTCACACAGCAGGTGGGGCAGGCTGGAATGTGACCCAGGCCATGGTCTTCACGTGCTTCACTGATGGCAGAGGGGGGACCTACTTAGGCAGGGACTATGTGTGTGAGGGCACTGAACCTAGGACATATGTTTGATCTAAACTTTGATGCCAGGGATGCCATCACAGCAGCAATGTGGGATGGTGGCTGTGGGCACAGGTGTTGTTGGAGCCAGGCCTGGGTAGGGGAAGGTGGATGAGACAGGCAGGTAGGAAAAAGGAGCTGGGGTCAAAGGGAAGCAGCTAGCTGACCACACACCATGGGTGATGAGGTGGATGGTCAGCCTGCAGGCAAGACACAGCCTTGAAGCCCAGATGCAGCTGTGTCTGCAACAGAGGGGGCGGCGTACCTCAGTAACAGGGGCAGGCTGGATCCTCCACATAGGAACTGCAGGCCCAGGAGCTGCATCCCAGCAGATAGGCACAGCATGTACACAGCATGGTAGAAGAACTCTGGCCTTGCAGGCACAAGGTCCAGTTTAGCTTGGGACCTGGGAGAGTTCCTCTGTTTACATAGCAACAAGCTGTAGCCCTTTCTCAGGATGACTGGGAGGGCTAGATAAGGAGCAGACATGCATTCCTGTGAAGGTCATGGTAAGCACTGCTGTGGACCAAATGTGTCCCTGTGGTCTCCTCTGTTGAAATCCTCATCCCCAAGGTGACAGTGTCAGGAGGCAGGAGCTTCAAGGGGTGGTTAGGTGGTGAGGGTGCAGCCCTTGTGAACAGAATGGGTGCTTAAGAGGCCCAGAGAGATCTCATCTCGTCTGTGCTGTGGGGATGCACAAGGAGTCAGCTGTGAACCAGGAAGCAGGCCCTCCACAGACACCTGCACTCCAGGGCTGTTCTGTGAGTCACCTGGTGTACAGTATTCAGTTATGGCAGTGTGTGTGGACTAAGACAATAACCATAATTCTATTTACACACAGCACAGTGAGCATCATTGTCATCGTGAAGCTGCTTGCCACTGTAAACAGCATACTGAGCATTTATTGTGCACCTCCTCTTTCCCACGCTTCACCCCACTCCATTGTTAAATCTCCTAATGCCCCTGTGAGCAGGTTCTTTGCTGAGCCCCCTTCTTAAAAAGATTTACCTTTTTTACTTGAAAGTCAAAGTTATGGGGAAAGAGGAGAGACGGAGATCTCCTGTCTGCTGGCTCATGCCCCAAATGATTGCAATGGCAAGAGCTAGGCTGATCCAAAGCTAGAAGCTGCCAGTCTGCCATTTGGGTGACAGAGCCACCCTTTACTGCTTTTCCTCGGATATCAGCAGGGAGCTGAATCAGAAGTGGAGCAGCTGGGACTTGAACTGGCACTCACAGGGGATGCTGGTGCCACAGGCTGAGGTTTAGCATGCTATACCACTGAGCTGGCCTCTCAAAACCCCATTTTACAAGTACAGCATCAAGACTCGGTCACAAAACTGTGTTCTGTACAGGCTTTAATTAGTCTTCTTAGAATAAATTTAGATTTAGCAAAAAGTTACAAATAGGGTTTCCATTCAGTTAACATATCCCCAGGGTGCCTTTATCTAAGAAACTGACGTTGGTATAATACTTTCAAGCAGACCTGTTCAGTCTTCACCAGTTTGCCCACTAGTATCTTTTCCTGTCTAAGCCAACTTACTGCACTACATTTAATCTGTATGCATTTTAAGACATTTATTTGTTAATGTTTATTTTTGTTTTTGCTCGAAAGTTGAAGTTATAGAGAGAAAGTGAGAAACAGAGAGATCTTTCATCCTCTGGTTCACTCCCCAAATGGCTGCAACAGCTGAAGCTGGGCCAATCCGAATCCAGGAGGCAGGAGACTCCTTCAGGTCTCCCACGTGGGCACAGGGGCCCAAACACCCATCCCAGGCCATCAGCAGGCAGCTGGGTCAGAAGTGGAATGACCAGGATGTGAACCAGTGCCCATATGGGATGCTGATGCTGCAGGTAAAAGCTTGACACTTTGTTGCCATAGCATCAGCCCCCTGTATGCAAATATAATGCTATCCACTGCTATTCCCAAAATTTGAACAAAGGCTAGAGGCAACTTTTTAACACAGAAATAAAGAGTGGTTTTGGATGAGTGAGAAGGGCTTGATATTGTGGTGCAGCAGGTTGAGCTGCCCCCTGTAACTGTGGCATCCCATAGCAGAGGGCCTGTTTGAGTCCTGGCTACTCTGCCCGCAGTTCAGCTCCCAGCTGCTGCATCTGGGAGGGTAGTGGAAGATGCTGCAAGCATGTGGGCCCCTGCCAACTGTATGAGAGACCTGAGCACAGTTCCCTGACTCCTGGCCTTCTCTTAACCCAGACCTGGCTGGCTGGCTGGGGCTGTTGTCGCTATCTGGGGAGTGGACCAGTGGAGATCTCTCTCTCTATCTCCTTCTCCTCCCCTCCCACCCCTTCCCTTCCTCCTTCCCTCCCTCTGTCACTCTGTCTTTCAAATACATACATGTTTTCAAAAATGAATCAGGAAATTGGGAAAAAGAAAATAAGGACAAAGGGAAAGAGGTAAGGCTGGGCCAAGGTCGTTGCTCGAAGGCCTGTCGTGCGCATGGCAGACCCAGCTACAGGTAGGCTGGAGATTCGGCCGGGCTTTCTGGCAACCAAAGAGGGAAGAAGGTCAGAGTCTGTAAGAGAAAACAGGCGGGGGTTCAGGACAGCTCTCCCGTCTGCCCCTTATAGGGGACACTGTGTGGAGGCACTAGTGGTGTCCCCGGTGACAGTGAGGGCTCCAGCAGGTGCCTGCCTTGTCTCTTGCATTGTGATGGAACCTGCGTGTCAGGTATCAGGCTGAGAGAAGTGAGCTTTGCCCTGTGATGATGAAGGGTGGTGTCTCATTATCCTGCCATCCTCTGGGGGAGCAGGGATTGTGCTCCATACTTCCCATTTGTGCCCTTTCATTTTTTGCAATGAAGGAGTGCTCTGACCCCCATCTGACAGCCCAAAGCTTTAGAAGCAGTATTTAGCATCCTCACTCAAGGTCACTGGGCTGGGAAGGGCTTGAGCTGGATTTGAACCCTCATGGACCCACTCCAAGTCCACATTCCTAACCTTCAGCCTCACCCTCTCCCAGGGATAATACTGGCCTTCCTGGGCAGTCCCAGCCAGCAGCTGGAGGAACCAGGGCTCACCAAGCCCGGCTGACTTGCCCAAAACCTTCTTTCTCTGTCAAAGCTGAGATTGCAACCCAAGGAGCAGGGGATTGCCTTGGAGAGAGGAACAGTGCGACCTACCACTGACCAGCTGGATGAAGGTGGGCGTGTCCGTCCTCTGGCTAGGCCTGCACTGTGATCACACTCATTGATCTCACAGGTCATTTCCTAGGTCAACCTGTTTTCTTAAGCAAACCTAGGCACCAGAACATTGTCCACCCTCGTCCCCTGTAGATTCCCATGTTCACAGAGAGAAGCTCACCCTGCAGGCACATCTCTCCCCTTTGTAGGTTTCCTGGCTAAGCCCCTCCCCTGCCTTCCATCTGACACAGCTCCTGGCTCCACCCCCTGAGCCAAGCCAGGCAGCCACAGCCACAGACCTGCGGTTTATGGTCTAGAAGCATCGTCATGGAGTTGGGAGCAACTTTGTGGGTAATTTCCTCCTTGTTCCTCACTTCCTTCTGCCACCTCTGAATGAAACAAAGATTGCTGTTCCACTGTGGAAAACCGCAACAGTAAAGCAAGTTCCATTTTCCAACAAGGCAAAGAGAGAATATTCCAGGGAAGTCTACCAGTGACTTTAGTTGGCCTGCCCGCCTCAGGCAATCAGAAGCTGTCTTTGCTCATGGAGTGCATGTCTCCCAGCAATCCTTTCCCCTTCAGTCCCCCACCCCCACCACCAGAAGAGCATCTTCTGTTCCGTGCCACCGCTTTCTTTCCCTCTGAGACCCCTCCACTGTGCTAACACCTGCCCACTCTTGCTCGGTGGCCAGCCCTGATTAATTCCGCTGATTGCCTGCGCACTTTCAGTGGAATTAGGCATATTGAGATGGAATAAAAGGACTTGGCTGTGTGGGTGGTGGAGCCAAGAACAGGCTTTATTTGTAAACAGGGCTCCTGGTTGCTGGGTAGGGCTGTCCTGTGGGTGAAAATGCTCCCTCTCCCAGGGCTACCAGCTGCTCTGCCCGTGGGAGTGCGGGCAAAGGGATGGACCAGGTTGCCCTGATGGAGAAGCAGTTAGGAGGACGAGCAGGCTCCCAGCATTTTACCTGGGGGCAGACTAATGGAATGAGGAGCTTCCCCCTCCCAGGAGGGCCAGTTACTGACCCCCACCCAGCCTCAAACCCCATCATAAACTAGCTCCTAAAATCAGCTCTGTTTCTTTAAGGATCACTGAACTTGACAGCACTTAAAGATAATCCTAATGGTAAATATGATGAAGATAATCCTAATGATAGCCCATTGCTATTTGTGAACAATTTTTGGGAAGGGGCACTATGCTAAGCAGGTTAGTTAGAAGCACCTTTATTTAATCCTGATGGTAGACCCG